GTTCTGTCTTGCAACATTTGCATGTGTTCAGATGGGCAGGAAAATAGTTCTATCCTACACAATTACTCGCTAACAAAGGCTATTCGTCCAATTCAGTGCATATTGTACGCATAATTTTTTTTTTGTTAAACAAAATCACTGGTAAATAAATCACACCTTAGTATCGATATTTTTTTGAGTTTGAGTATCGATACTTTCGATACTCACGTCAGTATCGATATATCGATACTTCGGATCGATACGCCCATCCCTACTTTTTGGCAAATGTAAAACGGACGGCAATCAGTTTTCGGCAGACGATCAATTTTCGCTCATTACACTGCAATGCATCAGTTTAATAGCACTAAAACATTTGGGAAGTGTCCCTTATCTGACACCTGTGTAGAACAGGCTTACACTTTTTGTCATGACAGATCAAACAGTTATGTTGTCATGTTTTTTATTATAATAATATAATTTCCATGAATAATTTTACAATAATAAACAATTAGATTGTTCTTTCAGATGTCAGACGGTTTCCTGATGGAGGTGTGTGTGGACTCAGTCGAGTCAGCCATAAACGCAGAAAGGGGAGGTACGGTTTCACACACCTATATAGTAAAGTGAAAATGCAAACCGTAATATATGATGAACTGTGCAGCTGTGGTGAATGTCTTGGTTCAGAGGTCATGTGTTGTGGTGTTGATGTACAGGTGCGGGTCGTATTGAGCTGTGCTGTAACCTGCTGGAGGGAGGACTGACGCCCAGCACAGGTCACTACACACATGTCCTGCTACTGGAGCACTCTGACACGCATTCACTGTAGAGCTTGTATGTTCAGATTGAATTCAGTCCGACTGATGCAAATAATTCAAGAGTAATTCATTTGGGGGGAAAAAAAAAAAACACCATACCTTGAGTACTTGTCAGAATACAAACACCCCTCAAATGAGACTATAAATGAAACAAGGTTTTTAAGTGTCTTTATAGAACTATTATTTCCACATATTAAAATAGACAAATAATAGTATCTCTTCATTTTAACTGGACAAGAAGATTTAATATCGTGTCTGGCAATTTGAAAAATATGTTTTCGATTTCATTAACATGCATAAACTTTTAAGTAGAATTTAAAGGAACACTCCACTATTTTTGAAAATAGGCTCATTTTCCGACTCCCCTAGAGTTAAACAGTTGAGTTTTACCGTTTTCGAACCCATTCAGCCGATCTCCGGGTCTGGCGGTAGCACTTTAGCTTAGCTTAGCATAGATCATTGAATCTGATTAGACCGTTAGCATCTCGCTCAAAAATGACCAAAGAGTTTCGATATTTTTCCTATTTAAAACTTGACTCTTCTGTAGTTACATCGTGTGCTAAGACCAACGGAAAATTAAAAGTTGCGATTTTCTATGCCGATATGGCTAGGAGCTATACTCTCATTCCTCACTGCGTAATATCATTGCGCCTGCTGCACCCATGGTACAGCAGCAAAGTTCCTTGATTATTACGCCGGAATGAGAGTATAGTTCCTAGGCACCCATGGTACGGCAGCAAAGTTCCTTGATTATTACGCCGGAATGAGAGTATAGTTCCTAGCCATATCGGCCATAGCGAGATGCTAACGGTCTAAGCTAAGCTACAGCTAAAAGTGCTACCGCCAGACCCGGAGATCGGCTGAATGGATTCGAAACCGGTAAAACTCAACTGTTTAACTCTAGGGGAGTCGGAAAATGAGCCTATTTTCAAAAATAGTGGAGTGTTCCTTTAATGATCTATAAGTATGTTGGAGATCACAGATTTCTTTGCAAACTGCTTATATTAAACTCAGTAAAATACCGTAAGTAGATATTGTAAATATGAATGTTTATTAATTAATTTATGAAAGTTATTTAGCCATTCACACTGATGCCAAACTAGAGGATTCCTTATGCTGTAGTGACCAACATTAGTGTCACAGACTTCATATGTCATTCACACGGCTCATCGTTTATCATTTGTTGTTACCATATTGGACATTTATGAAAACAGAAATTCAGGAGTTCAAGATTTTGAACTGAATTCAAAATGCCAATTATATAGACAGAAATGGAAATTAAGAAAATGGAAACGTTTCAAAGGATGTAGAGGAAAAAGACATTGAAAGTAATATGATTGCGAAAATGTGAATATAAATGTAAAAATGTTCCTTATTCTTTACAAATGTGAGGTTTTCTGCATCCCAACATCCAATAATTCAACAATTCATCCCAGAGCTAACAATTTTAATGTCAGATTTATTAGATAGCTAGACTAGAAGCACAGCTCCCTGAAGAGCTGCTTCATCAGTACTCTGCATGTTTGAATTGTTCGGTCTCTGGTCTTCAGGTCTGCTGCAGGTGGTGAAAGAGAGCGTGCGGATCCCGGTGTATGTTATGATCCGGCCCCGCGCTGGGGACTTCCTGTACTCAGACTGGGAGGCGGAGGTGATGAAGAGGGACATTGAACAGATGAAGATTCACCGAGCAGACGGGCTGGTGTTTGGAGCGCTGACAGAAGACGGGCGCGTAGATACTGAGCTCTGCATGGAGCTGCTGGGTAAAAACTGCTTGCATTCTCTCATACGTCTAGATATAATATTTTAACTTGCCGTTTGAGGAATAGTTCACCGGAGAAATAATACACTCAGCTGGGGTATTCAAGTGGACATCTGGTGTGCAGCAGAGACGGTATTTTATGCGTAGACTTGGGCTGTATGGAGTCGGTCAGAGAATTCTGTGCTTGTTTTATCGTGCCGTCGTAGAGAGATTAATTAGATATGGCATCACAGCAAAATCTAAGCTTGGGCGCCTGGTTTAAATTGCAGTGAAGATTGCAGGGAAAGGGGAATATCAGGCTCTTGAATCACTGTATGAACAGTCAGTTCTCAGGCACGCACATGAAATCTTAGCTGACCCACTGCATATGCGGTAATGCATGGGGAATGATGTTAGCCAATCATAAAAGTGGACGGTTACACTGACCTCTTAAAGGGAAAACACCCCAAAACCGACTGTTTCAGGCAGAGGATGAGAAACGGTGGAAAAAGGTCATCGATTCTGAATGTTTTTCGTCCCAAAAAACTGTAATTATATTATAATTACACCTTAGGGAACATCATAAAATAATAATAATAATAAAAAAAAACATGTCATGACCCCTTAAATATGTTAAAGGGATCATATGATGCTGCTAAAAAGAACATTATTTTGTGTATTTGGTGTAATGAAATGTGTTTATGTGGTTTAAGGTTAAAAAAACACATTATTTTCCACATATCTTAACTTTTATAAAGAATATCTCTTTGGATTTGAGACTTTAGTCTTTGCAACTTTACAGATCTTCTTTATGCACCAAGAGCTTGTAACACTCCAAAGAGAAAGGAAAAATTGAAATCGCATCATATGACCCCTTTAAACAAGGAGTTTTTTTTTTAAGGTCAGGGATTATGTTTTTATTGTATCTGTTCCTATTGCTATTTATGATCCAATGTATTTGTCAATGTAAATGCACCTTGAGTCCAAAACAGATTTCCCTTTGGGGACAATAAAGTGTATTTCATTTCATTTCAAATGCTCAGCAATGGATGCTCTGCAGTGAATGGGTGCCGTCAGAATGAGAGTCCAAACAGCTGATAAAAACATCACAATAATCCACAAGTAGTCCACACCACTCCAGTCCATCAATTATCATCTGGAGAAGACAAAAGCTGAAACAGCATTAAGACGTTTTCAAACTGTTGATTCCGGCTGAAATATCCATAATCCATAATAATCCTTCCTCCAGTGTCATTAATTGATTAGATAAATTTATTTGTGGTTTGTGACTTTTCAGAGTACTCAAAAGCAATAGCAATGATCGACTGCATGAAAATGATGGTCGCTTGACTTAAAAAAAAAATGTTGGATTGTTTATGGCAGTCTGATTAGTTAACATTTGGACAGCACGCCTCCCAGACCAGAGAGCTAAAGTGAAACTACGGCTTTAAAGTGTGTGCTCGTTTTTATAAAAGCAATAAGCTCAGTGAAGCTGTGGTTTACAGTGCAACGGCCGTGAGCTGTTCTAGAATGAATCATCTGTGTATTAACTTCAACTGGATTGGATCTAATTTGTAGGAATCTGAACATATCTGATTTTAGCAGTGCATATTTATCTAACACCTGCTAGATGTTTTATTTCTGTTTTCTCTGCAGCGGCTAGTCGACCATTACCAGTTACATTTCACAGAGGTAAAAGAATATTTGACTGAATATGCTGACAGGTCATTCCCTAAAGTGTCTGTTTCTCAAAAATCACCTCTTTCGGTGTTTCCTTTCAGCCTTTGATATGGTCCACGATCCGGCGGTTGCGTTAGAAGCTCTGATCTCGCTGGGCTTTGAGAGGATTTTGACCAGTGGCTGTGACAGCTCTGCACTGGAAGGTTTACCTGTAATTAAACGCCTGGTGGAACAGGTGAGACCGCAGAATTTAATGCAGCTGTTCAGTTTCAGTGTATGTGCTGTGGATGGTTATGGACCAAAGTGTTTAGCCATCAGACGTGAACTCCTGACAGGAAGGCTCTTTCAAAACATCCTTTCCTACAAGGATTAGCCAATCCCAGAATGCTTTGTGACAAGTGACGTGACAGTCGATGCAACTGTTTATTCTAAGCGCGGGCTTCAGTTGTGTTCTGTGAAGTTAAAACTGGTGCTTTAAAATAGGAAGGATTTTGATTGGCTGTCAGTGTTTTAAAGTTGAGGACTCTGCTATTCTGTGTTAGAATTATTTGTAAAAATGTATGGTTACAGTTATGGTTCTTCACAGTTCACGCAAAGAGGAAAATTCTGTCATAAAGCCATTGTAGCCATTGACTTCCATAGTAATGAAAAACATACTATGGAAGTTAATGGGGACTATCGACTTTTTGGTTACCCACATTGTTTAGGACAGAATTTTCACAGAATAGCAGAGTTCTCAACTATGAAACACTGACAGTTCATCACAACACTTTACAAAAGCTTGAAGAATCAAACATCCATTCACATTTTATATTAGTAATTAAATAACTCACTTTATGGTTGACAAAAAGTTTGAGCTGGTTTTTGCTAACTTTGTTCCTAATTGAAATCGATTTCTAATGTGTCCAATGAACCTTATATTTTAGCTTAAGTTATTTTGTTTAGCATAAGTTGTTATGAATAGATATTTTGACTTGTCTGTGTTAAAATATTTATTCTTTATGACAAATGTTCCAATTAGCTAAGCAATAATGAAGTTTTCTCTCTTTACACCCATAGGCAAAAGACAGAATCGTAATAATGCCAGGTATGTAGATTCCTCATTGCCTTTAATAACACGTGTCGTAGTTCAGGCGTGGGTCTGCATGATGCTCGTGTTGTGCAGGAGGTGGAATCACCGAGAGGAACCTTCAGAGGATTCTAGAAGCTTCTGGATCTCAGGAGTTCCACTGCTCTGCTCGCTCCAGCAAGGACTCCACCATGAAGTTTAGGTGTGTGAAAGAAGGAAAGCTGCACTACTAATGTACAGAAAATACTTTATTCTCGTAGAGCAGCCGTTCTCAACTTTTGACTTCGTTTTCCACAACAATTTTGGAAGACTCCCAAGTTTTGTTTTCAGAATTTATTTTAATCTAAGGACAATCTACTAGTTTCTGTAAATTAAAATAAGTGACTAAAATAATTTTAATAAAAATGAATATATTTGCATTTTAGGAGTTCGGATTTTAAGAGCTTAATGTTTTTCTTTTTCTTTTTTTTCTTTTATTTACATGACATTTCCAGTTGTTCATTATATTAAGGATTATGAATTTCAAAACCTATCTTCTTTATAAAAATGCCCTCGGTGTTTAAAAATGTTAATAATTCCAGGTCTAGAAAACACACGTTTGAAATTAGGCTACCTCATATCAGGTTTTCCAAGAGTGTGGGAACGTCTCGAGATCCCAATTCGTCAGTCACGACTGACGTAACGTCGAACGTGACTGACTGAAAGGGAACTGCTGTTCTTCAAAGAAGAAAAAAAAGTAGTTATTGAGGGTTTGAATTAAAGGGGTGGTTCAGTGGTTTATTTCTAGGCTTGATTGTGTTTATGGTGTGCAGTCTAACATGTGTTACTGCTTAGTTTAAAAAAAAAAAAGCATTATTTTTCACATAATTTACCTTTATTCCACACCGATCTGTCCCTTCTCTGAGAAACGCGCTGATCATTTCCTGCTTTCATGAAGCCCCTCCCTCAGAAATAGGCGATGGGCTCTGATTGGTTAGCTAGCCCAGTGTGTTGTGATTGGCTAAACTGCCTGTAGTGCGCGTCTAAACGTCCCGCCCCTCAGCGGCATGTGCTCCGGTTGTATTGTAAACAACGGCGTCGTTAATATCGCTTATCAGTTTGAGCCCGATTGAGAAACAGAGGATATTATTGAAGAGGATCGTGCAGAACCTGTGCAAGCACGGCTTTTAATGGTAGGCCTATGTTTTTTGTTTGTTGTTGTCTCATACTTTTAGATACGCTGTTATTTGTAAATGCTACTGCTTATGTTAGCTTTTAATATACGGTTTTATCCTGATTAAAGCTTTAATACAGTATGGCAACTGTTTAACGCTTCTCATAGCTATGTGCAAATAAGTGTATAATTGTAACAGTTCATTGTTGGAGCTGAGCTGAATGAGAGAGAGAGAAAGATGCAGAGCGTGTGCAGAGCAGGGCACGCGAGGAACAATATTAAGATCCGCTGCTTTAGAACATTGATTTTGAAACTTGTGAATCCATTAGAATCGTTAGAAGACAGAATCGTGATTCATATATGAATAGATTTTTACGTGCACATCTAGTTTTCTCTTCCTCTTCTCTAAAGCAGCGCAGCCAGAATTTTAAAAGACAAAAGATATCTCCATTTGCATTGAACTTTCAGCTTCATAACTTTGCAGATATTGTTTATGCTCAAACAGCAACATTACATACTAACTAACATAAAAAAAGTGAAATCGCAATCAACCACCCCTTTAAAATAAGAATTGTGTTGATTTTTAGTTTTAGCTTATTTGAAAGCTTTTTTTGTAAGGACTTGGTTTATGTTTATGCTTTCTTCTATAGGAATTCTAATGTGAGTATGGGAGGCTCTCTGTCCATACCAGAATATGCAGTAAAAGTGGCTGATGTGACTAAAGTACGTACGCTGAACGCCATTGCGAAGAACATACTCTAGGATACGTGGAGCATCCTTCATTTATATCTACAGAAATCAATAAGACCTGTACAGCAGGACATGAGGGACACTCTTGTAATTCCTCAATATGTAGTATATTCATGTGAATCTACTCTATAACAATTTACAATGAAGTTGACACAAAATTAAAAACTTGAAATGTGTCAAGATCAGTAGCACTTTTGTTTAGATTTTGACATTTTGCAGGTGTGAAATAAAATCCTCTCTTGAGCCATGGCATATGTTCATACTACTTTCTTTTATCTTCTAATATTCTCTCTTTAATTCAATAATAAAAAAAAAACATTTTGAATTTTGTGTAATTTGTTTTGAACTTTTTTGTAACGGAGATCAGTTTGACTAATATTTTTGAGTGGTTTGTGCATTTATCTACTTCATTGGTTATCTGATGGGTTTGTAAAGAATGTGAACCGTGGGTTCAGCAGGAAACAGCTGCATTCACAGGTAAGCAACTTATTTAATGCATTGGTAATATTTTGTGTAGGGGCCGGCCCATTCACACCAACTTAACTCTGTCACTGTGTCGGGTTGCTAGTAGGTGTTCCCAATGCTTATTATTGCTTAGTAACTTTTATAAATTATTTTTGTTCAGGGTCACAGTCTTCTGACACGCTCTGAAAATACTGGGTTAAAAACAGCTAAGTGCTGGGTTGGGTTAAATGACCCAACATGTTTTTTTATTTATTTTTTTAGCTTAACTATTGTTGAAAAATGACCATACTGCTGGGTTAAAATGAATCCCAGAAAATATGGGATTATGGTGCCAAGTATGGTGCTCCAAGGCCCAGTTCCGACACTCCATATGCCTATTGTAGGTGCTTTCAGTGGTAGACAGGGGTCATCATAAGCACTCTGATTGGTCTGCGACTACTCAGCCCCATATGCAGCAGAGTGTGATGCGCTGTGTTTTGTTACACATTCCTCCCATAACCATCATTAAAATTTTGTGTGACTTATGCCACAGTAGACCTTCTGTTGGCTCACACCAGATGGAATAGCCTTCATTTCCCTTGTGCATTGATGAGCATGGGTGTTCAACACCCTTTTGTCATTTTGTGCTTTGTCTCTCCTTGGACCACTGTTGGTAAATTCTCACCACTGCTGACCGGAAAGCAACCCACAAGACACACTGCTTAAAGGGGACATCGGATGCAAAATTCACTTTTACATGGTGTTTGAACTTAAATGTGTGTTGGTAGTGTGTGAACACAACCACCCTATAATGATAAAAATCCACCCAGTACTTGTTTTTAAATCCCCACAAATACTAAATGCTTTCTTTGAGCAAGCCGTTCACAGATTCTTGGCCAAGTGACATCACTTTGCACAGGCCCCTCCCACGACTGTTGACGGACACTGCCGTTTTAGCATAGACCCGCCCTCAGTGAGCTGTAAACAGTCCGACATTGTTCAGGTGTAGACAGGAATGGCTCCTAAGCGATTGAGGTGTTTTGTTGTTGGATGTAATAATGAACATAGCAGTCGTCATTTACTCCCGACATCTGAGCCGCTGAAGACGCAGTGGATTACTTTTGTTTTTGAAGGGAATGCGCCCCCCGATCTACCTAAATGTGTTTGTCTGCGCAAATCATTTTACACCAGACTGCTTTTTGAACAAGGGACAATTCAAGGCAGATTTTACTAAAAAGTTCAAACTCAAGGATGGATCAGTACCCACTGTTCGTAATCTAGCTGCACCTCCAGAAGAAGTAAGTCTCACACTTTATATTTCTTATGATTATTTGCAAATCGCCTTTCCTCTTCCACGGAAGAGAGGGGCGGGGAGAGAAGAGCTCATTAGCATTTAAAGAGACATGCACCGAAACGGGTCGCTGTGATCAGAGCTGTTTTTGACATGGTAAAAAGCGTGTTGTTGTACACGACTATTGAGGAATTTTAACCAAAGTATGTTGCAGACATTTCATGAAGACCCTAAAGAATCATACCAACTTCTGGAAATGGGCATCCAATGTCCCCTTTAAGGGATACTCCGACCCAGTCGCCTTGCCATATCAATTTGGCCCTTGTCAAAATCACTCAGATCTTTATTCCTGCCCATTTCTCCTGCATCCAACACACTGATTATAAGAGCTGATTGTTTGCTTACCATCCACCAACCCAGACCTTATTGTTAGGAGATGATCAATGACATTTTGCTTCATCTGTCATATTGTTTTGGCTCAAAATCCCATATACCAGCAAGCTACTCCCGCAGAGCATTTCAGTTGTAATGAGAAGACCCTGCTCATCAGCCTAGTACCAAGTATGGTGGTTTCAGCATTTCCAAATCTGGTGGTCCCACGTCTGGTGGTCTCAGCACTCCCGTGACCGGTGATCTCAGCGCTTCCAAGTCCAGTGGTCTCAGTGCTTTTTAGTCTGGTTGACCCAAGTCCAGAGGTCTCAAGTCTCCCAAGTCTGTTGGTCCCAGAAGTCACAAGTCTAGTTGTCTCAGTGCTTCAAAGTTTGGTGGTCTCAGCACTTCCAAGTCTGTCAATCTCAATCTCTAAAGCTCTGTGACCACCAAATTCAAAGTTTGGTGGTCACAAGTCTCCCAAGTCCGGTAATCTCAGTGCTTCCAAGTCCATGGGTCCCAGCGCTTCCTAGTCTGGTGGACCCATGTCCGGAGGTCTCAAGTCTTCCAAGTCCGGTGGTCCCAGAGTCACAAGTCCAGTGGTCTCAGTGCTTTCAAGTTTGGTGGTCCCATATCTGGTGGTCTCAGCACTCCCATGTCTGGTGGTCACAAGTCTCCCAAGTCCAGTGATCTCAGTGCTTCCAAGTCCATGGGTCCCAGCGCTTCCTAGTCTGGTGGACCCAAGTCCGGTGGTCCCAGAGGTCACAAGTCCAGTGGTCTCAACGCTTCCAAGCCAGGAGGTCTCAATTCCAGTGGCCTCAGTGCTGGCACTAAATTATTGTGATTACACTTGTATGTCTGTTATGTTTTTCTTTGTACTGTATTTTAAAGAAATGGTTAGGTTTAGATATAGGAAAGGGATTATCTATATAAATTTTCATTGTAACCAAAATTATTGTCACTGTACATTTTTCTGCCTGTTATGTTTTTAATATTGAAATGTAGAAATGAAACGAATTATATTTATAATATAAACAGATTTTGAAAATATAGTAGATTTCTATATTTGTCAATTTGTTTATATTTAGATAATGTCAGTATGATCATGTTGTGTTTTCGGTTTTTGTACCTGCAAATGGTATGTATGAATACCTACAACTATAAGACTGGGTTGATATCTGTTGTTCTATTAAAAATATATCCCATACATTCCAAAGAAACACTTGTAATAGTGTATAAATTTATGTAGCACTAAATATTATGACAGTATTGTTCATAAGATTTTAAGAATGGAGAAACTTTTGTAACATAAATATTTGAAACTGCGGGGTTTAAATTGCACTAGACGGACAATTTTCATTTAAATTAATTTGAGAAGATTTAGCAGTCTACATTTTTTCACATTTGTTTTTAATTGAATTTTAATTTCTCTATGTTAAGTATAAAAGTATTGATAGATTTCAGATTTTCCCAGGAATCAAATTTTTCTGTAGTCAATTTTCATCCAGTTATCTAGGTAACGTTTTTTTCCCTTTCTATTTATACTTACATACTTACATGTGTAGTTAGTGAGGTATAGATATTCTGGACTGAAAAAAAGTAGCCTACTGATATCAGATCGATATTGGCTGCTACGCTGCATGCATACTCAGATGTGCTTCAGCTATGATATATCAATTTTTTAATGCATTATTTATTATCATTCAGGTCTTTTATAATGAATAGCTCACTTATGAAGTTGAACTATGTCCATTCACCCTTGCACATACACACGGTATATATTTGTGAGTGGGGGGAGGGTGGAATGGCATTCTCTATTACTATAATAATTAGAACATAGTTAACATTATTAGCAATGCATAGTAACACAGTGGGAGAATTAAACCTCTATTCTAATTCTTTAGTGTTTGCTCAGCAGATACATACTGCTTACATGTAGTGCTAATTTGACTAATTGTTTAAAAGTAGGGGGAACAAAACACTAGCTTGCTAATTATGTGACATCATTTTCATAGGGGAAAAAATTATGAGCAAAACTCTTGTGTAATTGTCATTCTGTCTGTCATGCTGATGTGCCCTTGAATCCTCAATGAGTCAGCACACTGTATCTTACCATGTCTAATGTAATGATTAACTGTAAACATTTTCAGTGGGCAGAAGATTATAATGTGAAAAAACATTAAACCTTATGAAAACACCTCTCTCATCTCGGGGAATTTGGAAGTTGATTTTTAGGTTTAAGTATAAACATTGCTTGTATGTTTTTGTTATATCCTTAACCTTGTTTGGTATTAATCTCTTCTCATATGAACGTTGAATGTTGGCGGCATTTAGAGTGATGTTCTTTTTGAACAACATAACTGACAAAATCTAATCTATGAGGGAAGAATTTACGGACAATTATTTATGTGTGTGTGTGTGTGTGTGTGTGTGTGCTCACATTGTTAACTTGTTAGTGGAATTGTGGGATCCTAAACAACTCCCCAACATAACACTAACCACAGGCAGCTATCCTTTGTTTATGTTCCTTTAATGATTTTATATGAAAGACAGGAAATGGCAGGAAACCCGACCCTACGCTCCTAAACCGACAGAAGCAGAAAGAGGGAAACGTGTACATGACCATGGTGCATCTGGACTTTAGACTGGTGAGTAATGAAAACTGAACAGTAATCTCTGGGCTGTTTCTTGTTGAAGAAGTGGGGAAAAGTTGAACTCATTTTTATGCATTTATTCAGACAAGACGCTCTGAGACAGCATTGTCACTTAGATGAGCTGGAGGCAGCCGATGTGGATAACGTCTCTTAGAGGACTGTTTAATAGAAGACCAAAGTTAAGGGTTGATCAACTCAAGGTTTATGCAACTTATCCACTTGAATTATAGCTTTAGAATTTAGAGAATCAATATAACTTTATAGCTGAGAGAGTCAGCTGGTGTGTGTGTGTCCTGTGAAAGAAAAGCATCATCTGTGTTTGCCGCTGGTCAAGTGTGATGGAAGAAACATGTCTGCTGCTCTAGAGGAATACTGCGGCTCCATTTTCTGGGTAAGTTTTGTCAGTTTCTGTTTTATGGAGTTTCTCATTTTCATGTTTCAAGTTCTGAATGATAATACAGTGAGATTTCACTATTTACCACGGTGCAA